TAAAGGCACTCAGGTTATCTGCATTGGGAGACTTTGGTACTAAGGTAAGAGAGGCTGAATTCATACCTCTTGGCAGAATTTTGTGATGCAGAAAATGCTGTACCCCTTCAATGATATCAGTGCTCACAATTCCCCAGTTTCTTTGAAAAAAACTTGCGGTCCATCCATCTAGCCCAGGGGCCTTCGAACCATCCATTGCAAATAGAGCCTCTTTAATTTCGTGAGTTGTAACAGGGATACATAGGGAGTCTTGTTGTTCCTGACTTAAGGTGGTGTGTAAGCATTCACGAATGATCTCCGAATCCACTCTAACTTCATTATTAACCACTCCAAACAAGCCCTTATAGTATGAGACTGCTTCATCAGCAATGTCTTGTGTATCAGTCAGCTCCCTACCATCATTTGCAATGATCTTCCTTACCTTTTTGCGAGTTGCACGAATGATAGCCGACTATGGAAGAATCCTGAGTTCTGATCCCCCAAAGTGAGCCACCTTATTCTGGATTTTTGTCTATAGAAAGCCTCTTCTTGTTTAACCAGTTCAGCATAGGCTTTGATAGACTCATTCAATTCTGAAAATAGATCTGGAGCAGGATTGTGTAAAGCTTGAAGTTGTAAAGATCTGACCTCTTCTCTTTTGTGTTTAACCCTCTCCGAGATATCTGAGAAGGCATTTTTATTGAGTATGCGTAATACAGTCTTGAGCAAATACAGCTTCTGCTTCACAGCAAAGAAACCCCTCCAAGAGACTTGTTGTGTCCATGTGTTTTGAAGAATATCACAATACGAATTATGATGTTCCCACATATCAAAATATCTGAATGGCTTGGGGAACTTCCTCACAGCAACTCTCGGTATAACCAGCATTCCATAGTGATCAGAGAAGTCAGGAGCAAGGAATTCGGCAACACATTCAGGGAAAATGTCAAACCACTCAACATTCACCAAAATTCTGTCTAGATTTTTAGCAATTGGATTGGCCTATTGCTGATTAGACCAGTAGCTGTGTGATCCACAACTTCCATCTTATCAACCCATACACGAAACTTAGACATGCTACTATTGATTGATACCTCGTTTGAAGATTCAGATGGAGCCTATATGGCGTTGAAATCCCCATAGATGAGCCAGGGGGCACCCTGAATCTTCCATTTACTCAATTCCTTGTACGTTAGGAGCCTCTCCTTTTCGTCATTGGAACCATAAACTGGCGTGAAAAAGAACTTCTCACCCTGCCTTGTGGAAAATGCAGCGTGAATAAAATGGATCTCTTCTGCTAGCATACTTAACGTAATATCATTTGTCCAACCAATCCAAATTCTCCCTAAAGGATGCTTAGAGTAGTTATCAGCAAACTGAAAATCAGGGAACTTCCGTCTAATATCAACCACCTTTTTAGGATCTTTAACTCTAGTTTCCAACAAAACCAATAATGAAATCTGACGGGTACTGACATATCGAAGCATATCATTATGCTTCGTGGGGCTATTGAAGCCCCTTGTATTCCAGGCGAGGATTGTCATTTACGAAGAGTAGCCACCTTGGTGGCTTCCCCTCTTTTCCTTAATCCCTCCCTGCCTGTCTTCTTTGGTGGAGGCGCCTGTAAACAAATATCCCTCGATCCACATATAACATCAAAAGCATTTGAATGCAATATGGAAATCGAACTCTTTTTGGCTGATCTGGATTTCACATCATTAATGACCTTATTAAACTCTTCCTGCGACTGTAGTGCACTTGGTGTAACAGGTGCTGGTGAGTCTGATATCTTCTGGCTAGTAGGTGCTGGTGATATCTCCTGACTATCAACAATGGCTTTGCCCTTCAGTGTAGCTTGGAGGACTTGAGTTGCCTCAGATATCTGGCTCGTGGAAACAATTGCAGGCTCAATAGGAACAATCAGCGGAGTCCTCTTCCTCCAGACCTTCTAGAGCAATCATGCCCAAAGACCCCACAATGAACACAATAATTCGGTAAGCCACAGTACTCCACATTGATAAACATTTCCTTCATATTGTCTGGAGTTATGCTAATCCTGTCAACCCGTGGTTTCTTTGCCTGAATCTCAACACAAATTCGCACAGTACCAAATTTCTCCCTACGAGCTGTGGGATGATCCATACATAATGGTCTACCCAGAGAACTGGCAATCCTCCCCAATCCTTCTCTAGAAGCAAGCTTAGTAGTAAGGCCTGAGAGTTTTATCCAAGCTGGAATCGCCGAGTTATCGATCTCCATAAAGAACAAGACGATCCTCTAACAAGGAGACTTTTACCTCGCCTTCCTTGCCCCATATCCAGTTTGCCCAGAACCGCAGAGTCGAGACGGATGGAGGTTTGGCCAAAAACTGACCTACAAGACTATGCTCCCATCGTTTTTGCCCTTCCTCAATGATTGATTTAGGGATACGAAGGGATCCATTGATAAATTTGGGCTCGAAGTAGTCAAGCCTGGTCTCCTCTGCAACATGAAACATAGATACCCAGGACCTGCCGCCGCCAACGGCGCCCGGCGAGGCCCCATCAGCGACGACAGTCATCACGAGGGGAGAAGAAGAATTCAGAGCAAAGAGAGAAGAGAGAGATAGAGAAGAGAGAAAAGTCAATTTACTCTGACATTATTTTCTATTCTCTTTTACTTAATTTTCTATAATTTAAACATAATATTTAATTACATTTGCAATTGCAAGTTAATTGTATTGATGTAGGTGAATGAAATGAATGTGATGTGGATTGCAAAAAATTTGAGTTGACAATAAAATACACAAATGCAATTTCTTTTACAATTGCAGAGCACTTCTACTATGCTATATAGCATTGGTGCTTTAATGTACAACTCAAAGTTGTACCATAACATTAAATGTATAAGTTTAGGTTATACCATAAAGCAATTTGTACCATTATGTTATGGTACAACTTTACAACTTGAAGTTGTACCATCACATAAAGGTACAAGTTCAAGTTGTATCATAAAAGAATTTGCACAAAAAGTATATGTACAATCTAAAGTTGTACCATAACGTAAATGTACAATTTAAGTTGTACCATAAAGACAAAAACTTATAACACCAATACTATATAGTATTGTAAAATTTCTCAAAATTGCATTGATAAATGGCGAGTTGTACCATCACATAAAGGTACAAGTTCAAGTTGTATCATAAAAGAATTTGCACAAAAAGTATATGTACAATCTAAAGTTGTACCATAACGTAAATGTACAATTTAAGTTGTACCATAAAGACAAAAACTTATAACACCAATAGGGATGGCAATTTACCCACCCATGGGTAATTTTGCCCAAACCCAAGTAGACCCATTTATTATGGGTAGGGTTTGGGTGATGTGTGTATGGGTTTGGGGTTTGTATATGGGTTTGGGTTAGATATGGATATTATCTAAATGAGTATGGGTTGGATATGGATATCCATTTACTTTAGGGTGTTTTAACTAGGGGTGTTCAAATGGTTTGGTTACCGTGGTAACCGTTTTAACCAGTACTATTTGGATAATTTGGTTTGGTTAATTTGGATAATTGGTTTGGTTAAAGTTTTTAGCTTGTTTGGTTTAGGTGGTTTGGTTTGGTTTCAGACACTCCTAACCAGTCAAACCAAATTAACCAGTTAAGTAATTAGTCATATATCTAATATATACTGTATACACATACTTAATACTTTGCATAACCACTCAAGAGTTAAACGTTCATCCTTTTTAAACTCATAAAATATAAAGCTCAATATTGCCCCTATGGTGAATATTTGTATATGTAAAGTGTAGACCACAACATATGGACGCCTAATTTAGATAAATCTCATACATTATGATGGATGAAAACTTGAAAGGAAGGTCATTTCCAACCTATGATCATTGCTAAGAGACAAGTCAATTCACACAAACACAACCATTCATTAACCCAAATATTAAACGTCGCGCTAATCGTAAGATAATTGTCTTAGTTTCATGTAATTATGTTAAGGGTCAACTATAACTATGTGTTGATTGTTATGTTTTATTCATTATATAAATTGCAAATTGATGCATTAACCGAAAATTTTTCTCACTTAATGATAATGTCATTTTCTATTGGTTAATCTGGTTAACCAATTAATCAAACCGATTAAACTTTAGTTTGGTTAATTTGGTTGTTGTATTAATTTGGACGGTTTGGTTATGATATTGTATTCCATGGTTAATGAAATTTAACCTTATTTGGTTTGGTTATAACCATGGTAACCATTTGAACACCCCTAGTTTTAACTACACATGCAAAAATTGGACTTATTTGTAAAACTTGAAAAATTTAGGTACCAAAATGTAAGACCAAAAAATTTAGGTACCAAAACGTAATTTTCCATCGATATTTTGAGGACTTATATGCAAAAAAAATTAAATTTAGGTACTAAATATGCATATCTATTAAGTTTAGGTACCAAAATGTAATTTGTATTTGGGCATGAGTACAAACCCAAATCCATTTGTTATAAACCCAACCCAACTCAAAGTAAATGGGTATGGGTACAAACCCATCAAACTTTACCCATATCCATATATTTGGATTTCATACCCAACCCAATTGGGTTGGATAGTAAAATACCCATGAGTATGGGCAAAATTGCCATCCCTAAACACCAATATAGTATTGTAAAATTTCTCAAAATTGCATTGATAAATGGCTAGTAAAAAGAAAATCCGTACGCAATGTCAAAATATGCACCGCCCAGCCCGGCGGCTGTGCCACCCAGCAGACAGCTCGGCCTCCATAAATGCCGAAATCGGCAAACCCTCCCCCATATATAGCGATCCAATTGCCGATCGCCTCCATAATTGTTGATTTTCTGCATTTATTTCTCTGCGTTGGAACTCCCCGATCGCCATTAATACCGACAACCCCATAAATGCATGCTGCATTGGACTCAGTCTTATCGCATCGCACACTGCGGAGATTAATTTCTTTTGCTTGTTTTTTTTTCTCTCTTTCTCCGTCAATTTCCCATTCCCCCACACGGCCACACTATGCCTGTCTCTGTAACTTCCCAAAATCATCTCCTGCTCTCCATCTTCTTCTCCCGTTCTCGATCTGCTTCTCCAAGCTTCTTCTCCAGGCGGACAGGGAAGCGGCGGCGTCGAGCTATTGGGACAGGAGCGGGGTCGGGAGGAAAGTTTCCTTTCCTTTTCTGATCTTCTTCTCTGTGAAGTGGCGTTGCGTACAAAGAATCCGTCTCCGGCGAGTCGAGGGACCTTAAGGCGAGGAGGCGGCAGCGTCGGATTGTTGGAAGGAAGCGGCAGCAACTTCCCTCTCTTTCTCTGGTCTTCTTCTCCGGCAAATCGTCGGCGTCGGGGCCTTAGTTAACTCCACCATTTCTCCCTTAGCTGAAGCTGGAGAGAATGGAGGATGGCGGTTGGGTTCACGTTCCCCGCCCCGCTGAGAAGGACTACTGGAATCCAACTGCCGTTCAGGAGAATAGCAATGGAGAGCCTTCTTCTTCCCAACCGCTGAAGCTGATTTTCACCTCTCCGGCCAAGTACTGGACCGACGCCATTCCCATCGGCAATGGCCGCCTCGGCGCCATGATCTGGGGCGGTGTTGCCAAGGAAACTCTCCAACTCAACGGTAACTCCTTCGCTGCCCGCAACTTAAAATAGGAATGTGTTGAAACCCTGCTTTTCCTGTCGCAGCTGGCTGATCTTTGTTTGAATTCTTGTGTAGAGGATACACTGTGGACAGGCATTCCTGGTAACTACACTAACCCCAATGCTCCGGCTGCTCTTTCCGATGTCAGAAAACTTGTTGATGATGGTCAGTTCACCCAAGCTACTAAAGAAGCCATCAAATTGTCTGACCATCCTTCTGAGGTCTGTTTATATGGGATTATGCAGCTTAATCTTAGTTAGCTACTATGTTTGGTGGTGTTAGACTTAGTTCTCTTGATGCAGATTGATTGATCCTTTATTGGAAACTCTTGGTTCTTTTTCAGTTTTTCTTCTTCTCTTGATGTGAAGGGTTTTTGTCTTGAAGGTTTACCAACTGCTGGGGGATATGATACTTGAATTCGACACTTCCCACCTCAAATTTGACGAGGAAACATACCACAGAGAACTGGATTTGGATACCGCTACAACAACAGTGAAATATTCCGTTGGAGATATTGAATATAAGAGGGAATATTTTGCTTCTTATCCTGATCAGGCTCTTGTGACGAGGCTTTCTGGAAGTGAGAAAGGTTCCTTGTCATTTACTCTGTACATGGATAGCAAGATGCATCACCATTCATTTGTGCAAGAGAACAATCAGATCCATTTTCAAGGGAGCTGTCCAGGGAAAAGGATCCCGCCAAGGTTGAATGCCGGTGATAATCCAAAGGGGATTCAATTTTCTGCTTTGCTAAACTTGCAAATTGGCGGAGACACAGGAGTGATCAGTGATGTGGATGGTAGAAAGTTGAAGGTTGAAGGTGCGGATTGGGCTGTTATTCTGCTGGTGGCTTCATCTTCATTTGATGGGCCTTTCACGAATCCTATTGATTCCAAGAAAGATCCATCCTCAGATTGCAAAACTGCAATGACTTCTTTAAGAAAGTTGTCATATGCTGATATACATGCACACCATTTGGATGATTATCAAAGTCTTTTTCGCCGCGTTTCTTTGGAGCTTTGGAAAAGCTCTAAGAATGTCTTAGGGAGTGCACATTTGAATGCAGAAAAGCAAATTGCTGCTGACGAAAGTGTGCCCTTTACGGGAAGTGAAAACACCACTGTATCAACTGCAGAGAGGGTGAAATCCTTTCAAACTGATGAAGATCCATCTCTGGTGCAACTTCTGTTCCAGTATGGTAGATATTTGCTTATATCTTGTTCAAGACCTGGAACCCAGGTAGCAAACCTCCAGGGCTTGTGGAATAAGGATATAGAGCCACCATGGGAGTATGCTATCTCCCTCTCTCTCTCTACCCAGATTGATGTTTTTAAATGCAATTATATTTCTATATCTCTGTCCATTGTTGATGTAGGTTCGCCTATGGTTAACATTTAAGACATTTGAGGGAACTTATGCTAACATGATAAAGTTAAGTCTACGTTTCTCACTTTAATCATGAGATCACGTACAGAAGCACTGAAAGTAAGCTAACTGGAGATCAGGTGTTGATCTTGCATGAAACCGGAAGTTGGATACTGCTCTGAGTTTAAGCAAGTTTGGTGTACTAACTCACTCTTATAAATTGTGCATTTTCTTCAACAGTTAATCAATTTCATTCTTATAGAACTTAATGATGGACTCTTTTCGTCATCCAATTTTCCTCCAATTGCTATAGTGTCGTTCATTCTGCTATGCCTCATTATAATCACATTTCTAATGTAACTCCACAGATGTCTCCCATGAGAAAGTCATGCGAGTCACCACAATCTCTTTGATTTAATACTACCAGGTCATGCGAGTGCACTTTGAAGAATCTGTTTCTTGTTTTCGTTTTTTTTAGCTGTGCTCAACACTTGAATATAAATCTACAAATGAACTATTGGCCGGCTCTATCATGCAATCTCAAGGAGTGTCAAGAGCCCTTGTTCGACTACATTTCCTTTCTTTCGATCAATGGGACCAAGACTGCAAAAGTATGTAATCCTTCCCTTTCTGAACCTCTGAGGTTTTATACTTCTTCATATTCAATCTTTTCCTGATTGTCTACCTCACAACATCTTTCTGATATATGTCGATCTACTTTGAATTTTGATTATTTGGACTCTGCTCAAGTTTATATGCCAAACCATCCAAGAATCGTCGTGTTTATATAAAATTCTGAAGCTGTAAACCTATGCAGTGTGTTGATATTCTCTAAGCAATTTTTTATTTATTATTGGGCTAAATTACAAGTTTGGTCACTCAAATTACATAAATATTTCACGTTTGCCACCCGAATTACTTTTCTTTCATATTAACCACTAACTTTACGATTTGTTTCACCGTTAGTCTCCGTCAGACTCCGTTAACATCGTTAGTTTTTTTATGACTTGGCAAACGGAATTGCTGACTGGACTGTTAAATTAATGACATGTCAATTTTTAAAAAAAATTAAAAAAAAGTAATTAGAGGAAAGCGCCCACCTTTCCCTCCCTCGTCTTCTTCCTCTTCCTCATCGTCACGCCGAACAATATAGGCAGCACCAGCTTTGTTGGACCTTCTTTTCCATTTCCTCCGATCTGCCATCTCTTCCTCCATTTTCTATAAGGGATCTTTTCCCCAAATTCAACCCTTGCAATAAAAAGAGCAATCTAGGGAAGACTTGAGCTCGGGGGCAGAGATCTCTAACTCAAATAACCAGAACTTCTCTTATTCCCAGTTCCCGGTAGGGAATCGAATGTCCAGACCTTGGAGCTCCTTGCCGCCGCACACGCCCAAATGGTTCACGCCCCAAACGGATCCTCGGTCCTAATCTCGCAGGAGGCTAGTCGGAGCGAGGTCAGTGACCTCGCCATTATCGACAAGGTCGAGCGGTCAAGGCAGGGGCCAGTGAGATCCAAGTCTGTGAGCAGGGGTAGGAAGATGAGGCTAGGGACGAAAGAGACGGCGGCGGACTTGCGTTTGCGGTGGTGGTAGGGCAGAGAGAGGCGGAAGCGCTGGGCCCGATTGGTCACGCCGTAGTTTAGTAACCCAAGGTCTTTGGGCTTCAGCGCCCAGAAGAAATTGAAGTTGAAGTAGTCGACGACGTTGTCTTTCTAGGTGGAGCGGAGTCTCTCCCAACCTTCGATTTCTCAAAGGGAACCTCCAATCCGGGATTAGTTGCTCCTCGGTGGTTCGCGTGACGATGGGGAAGAGGAAGAAGACGAGGGAGGGGAAGGTGGGCCCTCTACTCTAATTACTTTTTTTTAATTTTTTTTTTTAAATTGACATGTCATTAATTTAACAGTCCAATCAGCAATTCTGTTTGCCAAGTCATCAAAAAACTAACGGTGTTAACGGAGTCTGACGGAACTAACGGCAAGTGACTAACGATGAAACGAATCGTAAAGTTAGTGGCTAATATGAAAGTAAAGTAATTCGGGTGGCAAACATGAAAAATTTATGTAATTTGAGTGACCAAACTTGTAATTTAGCCTTTATTATTGTTTAGCTTTTGTAGCTTGGGTGAGCTCACCATGTAACTCTACCAACTAGCAAACACATCACAAGTACAAAGCCACCACTTTCTCTCTAATGATGTGCATATCTGCTAATTGCCTTTAAACTTTCACAGCCATCCTTAGTTCTTGCAGGGTATCCGAAGTGAACTATTTTGTGTTCAAACCTCATCAGTTGTTGCCTCATTTGAAGACATAAAAAGTTGTGCACTTCATTTCCTTACTATTTAAGTTTGTAATTCTGGCTCGGTGAATTGAATTTGATGCAGGTGAACTATGAAGCTAATGGTTGGGTTGTACATCAAGTGAGTGACATATGGGCAAAAACATCCCCAGACCGCGGAGAAGCTGTATGGGCTTTCTGGCCAATGGGTGGGGCTTGGCTTTGTACCCATTTGTGGGAGCATTTTGTTTACTCAATGGACACGGTAAGATATTCACCCTGATCTTGAGTTCTTAGCATGAGTTCATACATTTTGGCTCTTTAGTAGTAGACATGCAGTGTATAGCATTTACGGAAACCAGAAACCAAAACCATTGCTATGTTCAGTTTTAGAGAAATGTATGCTGTTAAAGAGAGACCTCTACAATTTAAGAATTTGTTGGTTTTACAAACATATCCCTGTTTTTGTAAGTGAGAAGTTTTGACACTGGGAAAAAATAAAAGTTTGTAGGTGAGAGAACTTGTTAAAAGTGAACAACTAGCATGATGCATTGAGGCTACAAGTCTACAGCACAAGGTTAAAAGGTTTTACCGTGGAGCACTTACCACTATATTTTGTGTCAATATATATTTATTTTTTCTATGACTGTTAATTGTCCATAAGGTTGTCAAGAATTTGATGCAGTGATGTCTGCAGAACAAAATTGAATGGCTATAAATGATGTTATGGGCCTGCACCCTGCAGAATTTGGGAAATCCTGCTTTAAAAGTGCTTTTACTAAGGATTTTGAAATTTCAAAAATGCTTTCATGTCTATTTATTTTGTAGCCGAGTTAGCATTCTTTTGCCTTAGGCCTCAAGTTTCAGAAACCTCCAATAATAGCGCTACCATTTTCTTGTTAGGATTTCCTGAAAAATAAGGCATACCCTTTACTGGAAGGATGTGTCCAATTCCTGTTGAGCTGGTTGATCAAAGGTCCTGGTAGATATTTGGAAACTAATCCATCAACTTCTCCTGAACATATGTTCATTGCCCCGGATGGTAAGCAAGCAAGTGTGAGCTACTCAACAACAATGGACACGTCAATTATAAAAGAAGTTTTCTCTGAAATTCTCTCTGCAGCTGAGGTAATTTTAGTTCTCTTTCCCAAATAAAGTAATTTGGCATTTGTATATGGTGGCTCCAGCTCCATATATTTATTCATAGCAACTTGTGCCCTCTTTGTAAACAGATTCTAGGAAGAACAGACGATGAACTCATTCAAAAAGTCCGCGAGGCTCAGCAGCAGCTTCCACCTACTAAAATTTCTAGAGATGGTACCATTATGGAATGGGTATGTTTCTTCAATTATCTTATTGCTTTAAGATGCTTGACTTATGAGTTCCGGTCAAATAGCTGGACTATTTTGCATTGCCTTGAGACAATCCGGAAGCACACGATGCATTATGTTTTTTCTCATGTTTTCTTCAATCGACAGGCTTTGGATTTCATTGACCCAGACATTCATCACAGGCATCTCTCCCACCTCTTTGGAGTGTTTCCTGGGCATACTATTACGCTTCAGAAGAATCCAGACCTCAGTAAAGCTGCAGAAAACACCCTGACAAAGAGAGGTACTGCTCTCCAACTCGACAATGATAATTAAGAAACGCTTACTAAGACCTAGTTGGAATCTGGCTTGTGCCTGATGAGAAAGAATGCTCAAGGTCAAAAGTTCATACATTTCCATCATCATTTCTCAATCTGCGAACTACCATTGAACAACTTGCAATTTTAGAGTGTTCACATTTTTGGCATCTCTTAAGTGCTTAGTTTTACTGTCTAACCAGGCGAGGTAGGTCCTGGATGGTCGACTATGTGGAAAGCTGCACTCTGGGCACGTTTACACAGGAAAGAGGAGGCATACCGCATGGTTAAGCATTTGTTTGTCCTGGTGGATCCTGCTCATGAAAGTGAATATGAAGGAGGACTTTATAGTAACTTGTTCACTAGTCACCCGCCATTCCAGATTGATGCCAACTTTGGGTAATCATCATACTGTCTTGTTTTTTTGCTTGAGAAATCGTGCTCACGGTTACCATAAGCCAAGAATGAAAATTGCATGCTTGCTAGTCCTCTTTCTGTAGTTTTCTGAGTAACCGTGTGAGATTTTCAAAGAAATTCTACGTCTTTGTATCACCAACTTGGTTAACTTTGGGTTAATGCTTTAATTGCTGAAACTAGAGAGAACCGAGCCGAGTCATCTTGTTCACCAACTCACGATAGTTACGTAGTACAAGATGCCTGAATATTTTTATTTTTGTACTTGCTCATTAGTGATCTCCTTTTCATGTCCGCCCTTTCAGTTTCTCGGCAGCAATTGCAGAAATGTTAGTTCAAAGCACCGTGAAAGATCTGTATCTGCTCCCTGCTCTTCCTCGTGACAAGTGGCCTAATGGCTGCGTTAAAGGACTGAAGGCGCGAGGCGGGGTAACAGTGAATGTTTGCTGGAAAGAAGGTGATCTTCATGAAGTTGGTCTTTGGTCAACAGATGGGAATCGCATCCAGCGTTTACATTACGGAGGAAGGACGGTGAATGCAAGCCTATTATCCTGTAAAATATACACATTCGACAGTGAGTTGAGATGCATTAGAACCTACTCACTCTCACAAGTAGCTTCTTGTTGAATGTTGTCACGGAATAAATATCTATAGATCTTTAGATAGAGGAAAAGTTTAGCTCCTTTTTCTTCTCAGACAAACCAAGTGGGTGTTAGATTGCATCTGGTAACCTCACCCAAGAGTCACAAATTGTGTTCCATTTGGGGAAATGCTTAGTTGGTTTTATAGATACATTGTTTTCTCTATAATCTGTCTCAGTTTGACATCATGCCACTGGAGATCAAGTGGACCCAGTTGAAACCTTCAAATACCTCCCTGTTAGAAACCTATTATTGTTAGAAACATAATATTAGGGGTTTTAGGAGTTGGGCTGGGCCTAGTAGAATTAAGATTATTATTAGGGTTTTGGGTTTTTTTTATTATAAATATGTAGTTGGCATCTTACCTAAGAAGGAATTAGAATAATTAAGCCGCAAGCAGCAAAAAATTACCAAAACACGCAATTCACTGTTCATTACGAAATAATCGCACTATACTGTTCACAAAGGGGCTGAATAATTGGATGCAGTATAATTAACGTGAGCCCATGTGTACATATGTTGGGCTGGCCAAACGTGGCCGTTGATGGGATTTTTGGTTTATAAGACTCATGAGTTCACAAAAAAACAGCTACACCAGATCGGTGACCCTCCTTTAAAAAAATAGAAAAAGATATTGATGGGTCTCACTTCTCAAACCTTCTTCTTTCTCTCTCTCACCTCCGCGAACCCGCTAAACGGCACGCCGGCGGGAGACTTGCGAAGCCAAAGTTCCCCGAAAAATCCCATTTCTTCTTTCCGAAGAACTTCCTCCCTTCTTCAAGAAATCGATATCTTCTTCTCTGGGAGACTTGCGAAGCCAAATTTCCCCGGAAAATCCCATTTCTTCTTTCCGAAGAACTTCCTCCCTTCTTCAAGAAATCAATATCTTCTTCTCTAGGAAATCAAAACTAGGGATTGCAGGCTTCGTAGACAAATCTGGGTACCAAGCTTAGCCCAATGACGACATCGAACTCCTAGAGTGCCGGCACCTAGACCAGAGCCTCCGCTTTCCCTTTAAAAGACAAACATTCATAGAACAGACCCTCAAATTTCCCTTAATCCTAACAAATCCTCCTATTTCTCTTTATCCAACACAATGAGGAAGAATAGAAAGCCTCATCATCCAGGCTAAGGCCATCTCTCCATCCCTCGCAACCGCCAAAGGCAAAAAAAAAAATCATGTTTTAAGGGTGCTTCTGCTTCATTATTTCCCCGCTCGGTATATTATAAATGTGTGCTTGAGGAAGAGACTGTTGAGAGGCAGAGGAAGGGCAAACATGGGTGGCGACACATGTTCCTATTTGTGCCCCATCTTAACCCAAGTGTCCAACATGCATATTATTAGAATTTTTTTTACAAGGCATATTATTAGACTTGATGTAATAATAAAGGGGAAGACAATAAATATATAATAATTATTGGAATGTGGATGTGATGGTCTTTCTTTCTTCAACTTCAGCTATTAACACATTAGCCTAGCTTTCAGAACCTCTGATTTCTGGACATGTGTTCTAAGCATACAACTTCTTTATCAGCAAGCGTTTAGAGAACTTATCTGAAGAAAAACTAAACTAATCAGCAATTTGATTTTCTTGCATTGCTATTTTGCTCTGATTAGCAATTATCTCCATCTACTAATTTTATGAACTGATATTATCATTGTATTGGTCAATTATTGGCTAATTAGATTTTAGTCTGATATTCCTAAAGAAACTTCAAATTGTCCAACCCCATTAATTAAAGACATATACCCGGATCAAAATGTAATAGGAGGACATTAGCATATGTTACACTATTAGTATAATTAGTTTGTAATACAGCAAAAAGTATTTGGCAAATCCTTTTAGTTTCACAGTAATACATGTAAGCCAATGCTGACATTTCAATTCAATTCAAGTTAAGAATTACAAAATAATTGTGATCTCTTAAGTTTATGGTTGGAAGAAAGTAACTCGACTAAAAGGAGAGGTCTAACTTTGATAGGGTTGAAAACATTGTCAATCATAGCAAAAAGAGGTTGATCTTAAAAAAACTACCAATTTATCATTCAAAGATACTATGGTTATCCGGAATAAAAATGAGTTGAGCAAGTGCCATGTAATGGGTGACTTATCCAATAAGTGTCTGAGAGAATTTTTAATCTTTTGACGGAAGCCCTATATCAAAAAAGAGAGACATAGCTCCAACTAAAAATCAAACTAAGTTTACAACAAATTTTTCGATCTCATTGGTTAACAAATTCCTCTCCAATTCTCTTACAGTAATTAAGAGGAATGAAATATCGAATATTTAGATTATCTTATATATACTTTACATATTATTTTTATAATTACAATTTTAATAGTTATAAATAAATTGGATTGGTTTGTGAATCCATTTCAGTTGAATGATTAGATGTGGAAATGAAGTTATAAGTTGTTTCACTTTATGTGCTAATTAGGAAGTTTTGGATATGAGATTTAAAAAAAAATATATCGATCTATTGCGTGTATGATAGTTATTTCTTATCTATTAATTAGTTAAATATATTACGTAATTATTCTATAGGATTAAGACCGAGTGTAAAAGTTATATAGGTATCGTACCCAAGCTAATTTGTAAATTATTTGATTTTAACTAAATTATTAAATGAGTTGATGAAGTTTTAAATATATTAGTTTCTTACCGCTGCGAAGCGCGGGCCAAAAAACTAGTAAGAAATTAATAGACAAACTCTATTCGATTTACACTTCTCTTCTTTTTTATCTAATCTCTTCTAAATCCTTAATTCCCAATTCTAATCCTTTTTATCCCAATTCTCAATTCTTCTCAAATTCCTAATTCTTATTTTCAATCCCCAAATCTCTTTCTATCTATCCGGTTACGTGAATTCCAAGTTACACAAAGAACCGTAGTTCTTACACTCCCCAATCGACGAGTGGCATCTTACGTGAAAGATCTCTGCCTTCGAGCTCTATGTGGCTGAGACCAAGGGAAGATCACAATAGGATCCATAGCGATAAGAAAACGAATGTAAAGAACACGAACACAAGATTTTACGTTGTTCCCCTGAGAATCATGATTAGTTCAAGATAGAGGTAGAACTATCCAGAGTCTATCTTATTCAGCAATTAGTATTACAGTGTACATGGTGATATATATAGCTAGGTTACCGAATACTTGTAACCCTAATCCTATTTAGCTTAGGAACTTACGTAAGAGTATATTATTACTATAAGTTACCTAAACTAAGTAAACTGACATTTTCAACACACTCCCTCAAATTGATGCTTGACTTATCCCGAATATCACAATAAAACTCTCAATTAGGGCCCAAGTATAAACCTTAATTGGGTGCAATATAAGGCAAATATGTTTAAATATCAACATGGGCCGATCCATGTACCCCTACTTCGATTGTTTGAAACATTATCTAGCGATTGGCTATTGGTTGAAAACTACGATCTACAATTAAAACGATTGTAAAAGTAATTGATTTTGACTCAAAATGAGAAGGATTCGCCCGAGTGTAGCTCCCCTAACTAGCTACCATGACTTGTCGGAATGAATGAAAACGTGTGGTGGAGGTGGTTGTGAACCGCTGGAAAGTGCAGCTAGTGATGAAGCATCACTCTCTCAGTCTCTACCCGTTAAATAGGTGACAAATTAACGCTCTTGAAGACACTGCTTTAAAGATGATTGGTCGTCCCTACCAGTCAAATAGGTGACAATTAGGCATCCTTGAAAAATACAAGTTAAGGGACACTTGATCGTCTCGCAAGTGATACATGTGACAATTAGTCGTCCCCAAAGACACATGGTAATGAACAACAAGTCGTTTATATGATTTTAATAAGGATAATAAGTCATTCTCAGAAGTTTCATAAGTAACAACCCCTCGTCCCCCAATACATAATTAAATGACAATTGTTCGTCCCTAAAAGTCACAGGTGACAACTTGTCGTCTCTAAAGATACGTTATAAGAGACAACTCGTAGTCCTTTAATAAACCTTTCAATGACAATTTTTGTACTCCAGTTTGATACCTATAGGAACGACATGTCAACCCTATAAAAAGAAAAGTGGACAATAAATTATCCCAAAATAGGCCCAACATAATCATGAAATCAATTATGGGGGACAACAATCTGTCCCTGGAAATGATGTTTAGGGGATGACTTATTGTTCCTAAGGTTTTAGCTATAGGGGCAACATGTTGTCTATGATGGAAGAGAAACGAGATGGCGACTTGCTAGTATCAGGGACGACTGTCGTCCCTAGTAATGGGGACGACCTAGATTTGTGTCTTCCCCAAAAGAATAAAGGATAAGAGTATAGAGAACCACACATTAGGAACGACTGGTCGTCTCCAAAAATTATATGGACAGTTTTTCCTATTTCAGGGGACAACTTTTGTCATCCCCAAACCTCTTTTGTTTTGTTTTTTTTTGTAGTGAGAGAACCCATCTTTCAACTATGTCTTGTTGAGGAAATGATCCTCTACCGACTCATTATCCTCTAAGAATCTGTAAAGAAGAATAAGGCATCAAATAAGAAGATCAAATCAGCAAACCCATGCATAATAGAAGATCATATTTGCTAATCCATGTATGCTCTAATACCAAAACAACTTGTTATCCACATTAGAGATGGAGTTTAATTATTGAAAAATGGAAACTATTTATTTGATACTGACTCGCTAAAACAAAACTCCTTACAATGGCTAAGTCTAAACAATGAAAGGGACTGCAGTATATTGACACAAGTAATAATATCGAATCCACGGGTCTCTAGAGTTATTATTACTCAGTTTCAGTTCATTATCTAGCAACCCAGATTAAGATGGAAGAACTATAACTACTCTAGCAAATTACAGTTAAAGTTAATCTAATTACAGGTTGAGAACTCACTTAGGTATGATTACCCCTAGCCACTAGCAAGATTAATGATTGATGATCTCTAACATGTTTCACTTTCATTCACAATGCGGAGAATCCTTGACTAGACCTTGAATCTCGACTAAAGAAGCCAAGGCCCTCTTGAGTCGATTGCCTAGAGGGACGTATCCTTCCCTAGAATAACTGATCAAGGTTCTGAACTAGACACCCTCTATCGAATGAGGTTCTCAATCGATACAAAGCAGTGATCGACCCTCAACTAAAGCAATCGATCCTATACTATCAATCTATGGTGCTCTATTGACCTAATCGGGTATTCACTCTCATAGGACCAAAGCAGAATCAATAATCTTGACTAAAACAGAATTGAATAATGGAAACATGCATAGATTGAATATGAACTCAAGATTATCAAGTAGGAGTACTCATACAATCATCCAATCAAACAAACATGGCTAGGGTTTCTCAAAACCTAAGTGAAGGGAAGTTACTCCATATAGAGGAGAGAGAATGCAGTATAACTTTCCAGATCGGGTAATTGTATCCGCTTCTGGAAGTTACCTTGTCATATTACCCAGTCGGGTAATTGTACTTGGTGACCGGGATCTTCAAAAAGCTCCGGATCACTTTTTTGCGCAATTAGGGAAATACCCGATCGAGTATTTTTGGTTCACGACCGGGGGGCCTTCTGATCAAAACTACATTATCAGATTTTCAAAATACCCTATCGGATATTTTGAACCTCTTGACAAGGTATTTAGCAGTTTCGGGTCCCCTGTCTTTGATTCTTCGTTTCTCCCTCATTCGGACTTCAAATCAGGTGTCGTTTGATCTTAGACGCTCGTAGTCTCGTCTTCTTTCTTCTCATGACAAGATTACATGATTCTATGGTATAAAAATGAGGTACAAATCTATTCTTCTTCAGTTCATGCCCGAGTTTCTTCCCCCGAGTCGCCAATTGATCTCCGATTGACTTGAAACTTGCGCCTATGCTTCACTTTACGTGCTAGGATTTGAAATGTGACAAAGGAACATAACCTAGCATAAAATAGGATAAAATATGATAAATACAAAGCTAAACAATCAAGAAATGAGGGGTAGAATATGTGTACATATTTAGTCATAAGACACCTAGCTAAACATTCCATGTATAATTGTTGAAAGTTCTAGCCCGGGTGAAAAAGAAAAACTCTAGAGAGAAGCAAAAGGAATACAAACTGGAACTCGCTTAAAATATGACGCTCTCAAATCCCATAGTGGAAAATGATGACTTTCTAATAAGTAATAGCCATAGATATTTATTTTTAATTAAACTCGACATTGAGCTGAAAAAGTTAGTTGTTTATGGTTCAATTATTAGTTGTGTAGATTGTTGGTGAGCCGTGTATGGACCCGTTTATATTTGTGATTAGAATACGTAAAAACAGTATACTAATTAGGGTTAGACGAAGAAGGAAAAGAAAGAAAGAAAGAAAGAAAGAAAGGGTTGTGGTCTATCGTCTATGTAAGGCGAGTGAAAAATGAAACGACGAGGAAGTAGATGATGGAAAGTTTTTGACCAATTATTTTAGTTGGTCATCAATACAACAGTCAACCCTTTTCACCGTAGCAATTTATGGACACTTGCTTATGTAGACCGTGACAATTGCGTCCAAACCGTGACTTTGGACTTTACTTCATCTTTTCGCACTTTTCGACCTCCAATCAACCTGAAACTCGTCCTCGACCTTCCACACGTGTTAGGACCTGAAATGTAACAAAACAAACACAACCTAGCGTAAAATATGTCCAGGGACGATGAAATGTAAAGTCAAACTGTCAAGAAATGAGGGGTAAAATGTGTACAATTAAACCTGAATGACGGCCTCAAAACGACGTCATAGTGTGTCTTTTCTACCTTTTGATAAAAGAAAAATCAAAATCGTCCTATCATTTCATTCTTCCCCTCCCGAGTGTTGCTAGCTGCTAGACTAGAGTTAGAGACGACCATCTTTATAATAGCTTCTTATTTCTTTTCTATGCTTCTTTCTCAATATGCATCGTTATTTTAAACTTCTTCATTTCTCATTTCTCCATACTATATTTTATACTTTACTATGTGTAGTTGATGAAACTTGAGAGTTTAGAAATGAGAGGTAGACACGATGATATTGGTTCATAAACTTGTGATTCCAGGCAATTGTGTGTTATTTTGCTACATTTACATCCAACACTCAACGCCCGCCTTACGCCAAACGCTTTCTTAAACCTTATTTTTCAAAGAAATTGTTTGGTTTAGATAAATAATTGTATCATACCATATCTGCTGGTTGGAGAGAAACAATGTTATTAGTCAAATCGGTACCGCCTAGAAGATATTTGCCTCATTTCCCATAGGTCATTGAATCTATTGCTACTTCAAAGTTTCACTATTGTTCAATCGATTAGTTTAATAGAAGTTACATATAAACAATAGCAAAAACTAAAATGCAACTCTAAAAAAAATGCAACTCTAGTTTGACTCAAGAGAAATGAAGTCCTTGGAATCGATATCCCCTAACCCTAGCATGTAATCAACGGAATTAAACATTAATGTAATTCCTCTACTCCTTTATGATCCAAGACTATACACTTACATATCGTTTGGTACCAAATGAATCGAGAATTAATTTCATTGTAAAATGAATTACCATGTAGAATTTATTGTCAAATGAAATCTTGTATTTGGTATGTTATATTCAAATATTTAGAAATAGAATGGACTGGTATGTCATATATATAAGTAACTTAATTAATAAAAGAGGATAATTATATCATTCTATTATAATTGGGTAAATACTTGTGGAATTCATTTGGAAATTCAATCTCAATTACTCGGAATTGCTATAACTAGTTCAAATTCCATAGAATTCAAAATTTAGAATTGAAAATGAATTATTTTAAACATCAAACACAAAAATATTTCATTTCAAAATGAATTTTTCAAAACTTATAGAATTTATTTATACCAAACGGTATGTTAAAGTCAATTGTCGTGAACTTGGTCTTGAGCTTCTCCTTACACTTGTTTGAGATAGCTACAATACATGCATTGTCCACAATGCATCGTTTTTCTGAATTTTCTGCACAAAAAATACAAGCATTGTTTGCTTTATTTGACACAAACTATCACTCAAAATGAGTGATAGTTAAATCTCAAGTTTTGGGTGAGATTGTTGAGATTGTTTGGTTAAGATTGTTGTGTTTTGTTTTCGTTCCAACTATGACCCTACTTTCTTATGTGATGCTTTTTCATATTAAAAACAAAGGATAAAAGTGACATTTCACTCAAAAAGTAAGTTAACTTATTTAAAACTATTAATAACTATCACATAAACCAAACAATGTAAATTACAATACACCATTTTTCGTACATACATGTATATTATTATGCATGCATTGATGACAATGTATCAATTTAACTATCACCAGAACCAAATGAGCCCTAAATTGCAATAATTTGGGGCGGTACTATGCTCACATGATCATAAAAACAGCTAGAATTTGGAAGATTTATGATATGAGGAGAATGTTGCTCTCCCCCTTTGTGAAATCTTCAAAGAATTGATCAGGGGAGATGAATCATGGGTGGCTGAAGGGATCTACATGAATTTCATTAGGGTTCTGGTGGTGATTGATATCTCTGAACCCCTCCCTCCTAGGTTCTACATCGAAATCGAAGAAGGAAAAGAACACTGAGTGGAATTCAAGTTTGAGCGACTCCCATAGAACGTCTGCTACTGCTACGGCCGCATTGGACACTCTCAATATGCCTGCAAATACCCGGAGGAATATATAGAGGGCCGCTATGGTAATTGGATGAGAGCCGGCACCCACTCGCCAACATCCCCCTTTGCTGCAGCCCAAAGAAGGAACACTCCGGGCACAACTGAGAGCAAGACGGCGGACAATTTCAGTCAGACTACAGGAAGAAGTCGCGCAGACTACTACCTTGACGGAAGACTCTCCGGCGGGTGTGGGTCCCAAAGAAGAGAGAGGAAGTGTGGAGTCCGGGAGAAACCAAAAGTCCCTTCCTCCTCCTGCAACGAATCGATTGTCAGAAGAGAATAGTGGAAACTCTGACCCCGCCTCCAGGTTTTACGGCTCCAAAATTGATTGAAAGAGAAGGTTTTACGTCTTCCATTAAACAGTCGGCTGCCTTTTCACCGTACAAACCCCCGATTCCTCTTCCAAGAAGATGAGCAGAGGGAGATGGAAAGTGGAGCCGTTCGCTGGATTGAGAAGGGGAGTGGATCCGGGTCCCAAAATCAATTCCATATGGGGCAAGGCCAAGCTGGTGAGGCCCAACTTTTCCATCCTTTTCCTCCTTTGGGTTAGCCCAACTTCTTCCCTAGTCCAAACTACATGCAGTTGGCCTAAGAGAATTATCTGATAAGTCAAGCCCACACCCATTTGTATTGTGGGATAACAAGCAAATGAAGGCTCAATTTTTGAGCCCGCGGGGCCTGAATCTACAGGAGCCCAGAAAGAAGCTGAAAATTAGCAAGAAATGCAAGACTGGCTCATTCGTGGAACAGAAGAAACAGATATGGAGACTACTGTTACTAAAAAGAAGGAACCAGATGGAAGGGATGATTCCAGAAAGGAGAAGGTGGCACTCCAAATGCCACCAAAGGAGCCATGACGATCATAAGCTGGAACTGTCGGGGCCTTGGCACGGATACGGCAGTTCAGTATCTTAGAGATATGCATATCTCTCTTAGGCCATGTATTACTTTTCTAATGGAAACTAAACAACAAAAAAGTGTGTTAGAAGTAGAAAGGAGGAGGGCCAAATTTTCAAACAAATGGTACCAAAATCTTGTAGGAAGTAGTGGGTTTAGCTCTTTGGTGGGTTAAAGATCTCGTGGTCAATATTATTGATCACTCGGAATTTTTCATTCATGTTTTTGTTAAGTTATGTGATGGTTTTTATCTTACTTTCTTCCATGCCCCTAATGATCCTAGTGAGAGAAGGAGTTTTTGGGAGATTATTAGCAACTGTAAGCCTCCTAATGATAGACCTTGGCTTTTATTGGGAGACTATAATGTTGTCTTGGATTTTGCTGAGAAAGAAGGAGGTAATCCTCCGTGAAGGAATGCGATGGAACCCTTCAAAGATTTTTTGTTCAACAACGGGCTTCTGGACTTGGACTTCAAGGGTCCAAGATTCACTTGGCCAAATATGCAACAAGGTGAAAGGAAGATCCTTAGTAGATTGGACAGGGGTCTTTGTTCTCTTGAATGGAGGGAGATTTTTTATAAAGCTATTATCCATATTGAGCCAATGGTCGGATCTGACCATTGCCCTATGAGATTGGAGTTGAATGGCATTCAAGGCAGAAAAAGATCCACATTCTGGTTTGATCACAGGTGGCTTGCTTATGAAAATCGTGAGATGATCATTAGGAATATTTGGGATAATGGTGGAAATCATCATGACTGTTTGAGTATTTGTCGGCGGGAACTTGTTGAGTGGAGTAAAACAAATGTGAGGAATGAAGCTATCAGGATTAAAGCAATCCAGAAAAGATTGCAAGCAATTCTTGATTTCACTCGTAATCCTGCTATTGCAGAAGAACAAAGGAACTTACTTGCAGAACTCGATATCTTGTGGAAAGAAGAGGAAATTTTTTGGAGGCAACGATCAAGATCACAATGGTTGAAAGTTGGAGACTTGAATCCTAGATTCTTTCACACTTCGACCATTCAAAGAAGTCATAGAAACAAGGTGCTAAAACTTCTTGATGAAGCAAACAATTGGGTGACTCACCAAGATGGCCTTCAGAACCATTGTTTCTCTTTCTTCAAGGAGCTTTTTATAAAGAGATATGAAGTTGTGGATCCTTTGATTTTCCGAGAGATACTTGTGTGGTGACTGATGACATGAAGCATGCCCTCTGTCGTCCTATTGAGGATGACGAGATCAAGAGTGCAGTCTTCGACCTTGGAGCTTCCAAATCTCCCGGACCGAATGGTTTCTCTGGTCTCTTCTACAGGAACTACTGGGACATCATTGGGACTCAAGTGTGTAAGGAAGTGAAGGAGTTCTTCTTACAAAGCTCTATGCCTTAAGGGTGGAATGATATACATTTGGTGATGACTCCAAAGATAAAAAAAAATCTGAGAGAGTCACTCAATTAAGGTCTATTAGCTACTGTAATTTCAGATATAAGATCATCTCGAAGATTATGACTACAAGGCTGAATGTTTGGATCCCAAATCTGGTGACTGAGATGCAATCGACCTTCATTGGTGGAAGAGCTATTCAAGAAAATATCATTATTGTCCATGAGGTCATGCACCACTTCAAGACTCACCCAAAAGGAGGAAAGTGGGATATGATGATCAAATTGGATATGAAAAATGCATATGATATGGTTGAATGGGAATGTCTTGACAATATCCTGAGAGCAATGGGTTTTGCTAGCCTATGGTGCAGTTGGGTCAAGAAATGTATTGAGAAAGTTCGTTTTGCAGTGTTATTCAATGGTCAACCATCTTAATTCTTCCAACCATCCAGAGGCACACATCAGGGAGATCCTCCTTTCTCCTTTGCTCTTCATCCTCCTTACTAATGCCTTGTCTTTTCTTATTTCTAAGAGTGTCCAGGATGGAGCTTATAAAGGTATCACCCTGAATCCAAACTGTCCAAGACTAACACATGTGTTGTTTGCAGATGACACAATCCTCTTTGGAAAGACATCTGTGGCAGAAGCAATGAATATAAAAACAACAATAGAGCACTATGGTAGAATGACTGGACAAGTGATTAACTGTGACAAATCGACTATCACATTCAGTCACAACACCCCCAATGCTATTAGGAAGTTGGTGGCTAATGTCTTGGAGATCCCTCTTGCATCCGGTCTGGGAAAATACTTGAGGGTGCCAACTGAGTGGGGAAGATAAAAAAAGGAAGTCTTCACGGTCCTACTTAGTAGAATGGAGAAGCTTGGGCAATGTTGGAAAGGTCTTGCTCTCTCTCAAGCTGGGAAGGAGACACTCCTCAAGTCAGTCTACCAAGGCTACCCCACTTTTCTTATGTCTTGCTTTCTCCTCCCAATGGTACAACATGGAAGATGGATTCTCTTCTCAGGAACTTTTTTTGGGGTGGTAACATGGAAAAAACCTCAATCCCTTGGAGGAAGGGTAGTGTTCTGACGGCTCCTAAGCAGGAAGGGGGGATGGGCTTTAAAGATTTTCATCAATTCAATATAGCCCTCTTGCCGAAGCAAGGATGGAGAATCCTAAAAGAAGGTGATGAAACGTGGATCAAACTCCTTAAAGGTCTCTATTCTCAAATTGCAACTTTATGGTCGCTGTGAAAGGTCGAAGACCTTCTTGGATTTGGTCAAGCATTTGCGATACAAAAGCTATTCTAAAGATGGGAGCTCGTAAGAACATGGGAAGTGGAAGATCTATCTCTTTGGAGGATGATCCGTGGATTCCCGGCCTCAACAATTTCCAGATCCAACCTAATGTTCGACAACAACTTTGCGCGTTTCAATGGGTCATGGATGATGAGTGCGAATGGAACCTTGACCTCATCAACCAGAGTTGTAGTGCGGAGGAAGTGGATGCAATCAAAAGAATTCCAATTGGCCCTGATCCTACTGAGGATGAATGGGTGTGGTACTATGAGAAATCAGGGATCTACTCGGTGAAATCCGTTTATCATATCTTTCGAATCTCAGAGAGGAACCGGTTAGGGACGCCTGACCCAAACCATCCTAGTTGCTCTGGGAAAGCTTGGAAACCGTTATGGAGTCTTTCTCTCCCGCCTAAGATCAGGTCTTTTGTTTAGAGGTTGTCGAGGAATGCAGTTGCTACAAAGAGAAACCTTTGGAATCGAAGATGTAGTCCTTCCCCGCTCTGCACTATCTATGAAACGGAAGAGGAGGATGTGAGACACTTCCTCTTTACTTGCCCACATGCGGCAATGGTTTGGCTGGCAAACTTCCCATCTCTGATTCTCCCTCAGGACTCTTCACCTATCCTCATGTGGCTTTACACCATCGAGTTGGAACCTTCTCCCATCTCGATCCCTGCAGTGATTGCATGTCTCTGCGCTATGTGGATCGCCAAAAATTAGCAGATTTTTAAAAGGGTCATCGCTAGGACGTTTGCAACTTCTACAAAGGTGGTGCATTTTTTTAATGACTGGACGAATGTTCTCCCTCCTTCGACAGTGCCTCCATCTCAAGTCCAGCATCCTCCATACCATCCTACATATAGTCTATCGCCTGATTATGATCTCTGGGAAATCCACTGTGATGGTTCTTTTAGAACGGAATCTCAGTTGGCGGCTTATGGGGTGATCATCAAAAATCCCATGGACATGTTGTAGATGGTCTTGCTGGTACTTTCCTCTGTTCGTCGACGATAGTTGCGGAAGCGAAAGCCTTGCTGTCGGCTTTTCGTTTAGCTCATAATGCTATCTTGGCGGTCATCATCTACTCGGAATGTCAAGTCTTTCTGGAGATCATTCATAATCCCAACAAAAGTAGACCGTGGCAAATTAGAGCATGGATTTATTGGATGAGACAGATTCTCCAAGCGAATGACGTGATCAAAATTGAATATATCCCTAGATTGGCAAACAAGAGTGCGAATTGGGTTGCGAAAGAAGCGGCAAAAGGATCTCTTCCCCAAGATTGGATCCAAGTGCTTAACATTATTAACCCATTGTTGTAATTTGGCTTAGCTTGTACTTCCATCATTGATATGAATGTAAATCATTTGTTGTAAAAGAAAAACTCAGATGTGATGCAAGATGAGAGGCGACATCGATTTGAATTTCGATCTATAATGGGAGACGGGGAATGATAGGTGAAATGAGAAGTCATGTGATTCATTTGCCTATTTTAATTCCTCTTTTTTTCATGGATTTTTTTTGTCTTTTATTTTTTAGTCAAGTTAAGTAGAATAAAAGTACCAAAAATTCCAAGTCGGCAACTTTCATAAAAAAGTGCTATGTCAATGTATTCTGTTAGTCTAGTAAGCACCATTAACTGTGTTATTAAGTTTAATATATTTTATGGACGCATGAATATATTTTTCATTATTAAAAAATCACTATATTTGTCACAAAGATATTGAGTTCAAATCTCAGAATTATGCTCCTTCTAAATAACTTCAAATAGAATATACTAGATGGCGATGCCGCACCTTGTTGCGGGACGTAGATGGCCATGGGCATGCATTATTTGACCCGCTATGGTGTTTTGTTAGTATTATTAGCCTAAAATTAATTTGTTATTAGAAGTTTTGTTAGTAATATTAACTTGATAATATGATATTGACTGAGAAAAGATATATAGCAGTCAATATCAGAATTTAATTTTTTTGAAAATTTTGGCAATAAATGATATTTACCTAAATCCAAGTAGACCCATTGATTATGAGTAGGATATGGGTGACCTATATATGGGTATGGAAGT